ACTTCTTTATCTGTAAAATGGCTTTCATCAGAGTTATTGCACCAGATTATTAAGAGGATCAAATAAAAGAGTGTACATAAAGCCCCTGGCACATAGTAAGACCTCATTCTTTCCTTCTGCTTTTCTTCTCATAAGTCAAGGTAGGGGATAGTCTTTCAAACTGACAGTGGGAGAAACAGATTCAGAGGGTCAGTGACAGGGTCAGACATTTCAGAAAAGGCTCCATCAGGAATAGAGTTCAGGCTGTAGCCTACGTGCCTAGTCATAATAACCACCCTGTATTGATTTCTGAATACCACTAAATTACTTCATTTAATTCTTACAACAGCCCTGTCATGGATATTCTTAAAACCATCCACAGATAAGGAAACTGAGGCTCAGGGCTATATGGTGAATTGTCCAAGGCCACTAGATAATTAAAAGCAGGATTAGAGCACCTCATGGTTCAGGCATTGGAGATCCTTTAGAGGCAGGGAGAAGGGACCCAGCCTCAGGGAATGGTATTTAGAGAATAAAGGCCAGGGATGTGCACCCATGGGTTGGAGCTAGACATGCAACCCCAAGGCAGAAATCCTGTCTACTTACTTGAAATTGGTTGGAGGTGGTTCTTTTAGTAAAGTTTTACTAATTATCCATTTGTCCTGGAACCTTAAAGGATGGAGTGGGAGAGAATTCAAAGTTAAGAAAAGTAGTTTTTAGAATAAGATACCTGTTTTCCAAACTGCAAGCCCTTTGGAGTCAGAATGAAATCAGACATCTCTGGTTTCTCCACCATTGTCCAGCACAGGGCCTGCCACAGAGAGGGCCTAGGCTGAGTGAATGAACAAGAGTGAACGTGTGGCCTTTCGAAAGCTAAGAATGTGAGAAAGAATCTGCCCCCTTGTCCCCTTTCTCTTTCATATCCTTGCCTCGCTGTTCCAGGATTGCCTGACAGAGCAGCTTCGAGGCTTTAGTGCTAGCAGGTGTTGGGTGCAGCAGAGGGCCCTGTGTAGCTGAGAAGTTCATGGAATCTTCCTATTTGGGCTTCAAATAGTTTCTATGCATGAATGAATACAGGAACGAATGGATTCTGTTGTTACCAAGGCTACCACCATCTCATCTCAGGAAACCAAAGTTAAATAACATGCCCAACATCACCAGCTAGTAAAGGGATAGATTAGAGCTTAATCCCAGATCCGACTGATTCCAAAGTATATGCCCCGTCTTCAGTACCCCATGATCTGCCAGGAGTACAGATTCCGACCTCCTATCTCTGCTCCTCCCTCACCGGCAATGGGACTGTGCATCTGCTGTCTTCTGAGTCCTCTCCTTTGTAAAAAGGGCCATGTTTACATAGTGCCTGATGGACGTTGATACCATTTAGTTGTACTAAGCATTTTTTTTCCCCTTAAGCCAAAGGATCATTGTGCAGTTTTTGCTTTTTTTTTTTTCTAAAAAAAAAAAAAAAAAGTGAATGCATGAAAAAGAGCTCTGCCAAATTAATAAACAACTTTGAGTCTCTGTTTCCCCATCTGCAAAATGGCAATTATAGTGATTAAGATGCTAGACTTGAATCCTGGCTATGACAATTTACTATTGTGTGAGGATGTAATTTCCCTTCTGTTTTCTATTAATAAAATGAGGATATTAATAGTATCTATAGGATTTTTATGAGGATTAAATGAGATAACACATAAAAAGTAGAAAAGTACCTGAGGCATAGTAGGTGATCAGAATGTGTTATTACTGTAAGGATTTAAATGGGGCAGATGTGGTAGTAATATGTCTAGCTCAGAACTCCACCCCCTGCAGGTGCTGACAACCAGCGGGAGAGATTACTAGCCCCCTCACTTTCCTTCCCTGTTGGAGTAGGATAGTCTTTGCAAAGGCAGCCAGGGGTCCCCACAAGTTCCTTTATGAGTCAGGAAGGATCTGGGTGGGGAGAGAACCCTGGGAGCTGGTTTCTGGGGAACAAGCTTCTCATGATGGGGAGGGACCAAGGGTTGGGGGCATGAGATCCTCTCCTTGTGCTGTGTGGGACAGGACACCCTCTCCTGATCAAAGGCGGGAACAACTCTGGCCCAGGGTTCCTGTGGGCGAGCTTCACTGGATCTCACTACTTGCTAAGTGCTCTTACCTTTGTTGAAAGGCACCCAGCCTGCTCTGGTGAGCAAAGTTTGCGGAGAGGTACCAAGGCTGGCACGAAACTGGCTTTTTGTTTCAGAAGGGTGGGGGCTGACTAATCTGGTTAGAAAGGAGGGGGGCAGGAGAGACTGGGGCCAGGGAATAAGAGCAACTGGGGCCTGTTGAATTAACTTTATATTCTTTCAACAGGGGATGGAACGCAGCTGAGAGGTAAGGTGACAGGATGGCTAGTCCAACGTGTCAAACCTAGGTGTCCGGGGGTTTTCTGGCAGCCCCAAGGCAGTCAGAATGTAGTGGGGTAGACCAGGGTTGGAGACGCATGGCATGAAGGGACACAGATTAAAGGGAGACCCGGGAATCTGGCTCCCCATTAGCGGGGAGGAGCCAGCAGAGGATCTGGGCAAGGCTTCCTCCCCAAGTTCCGCCCCAAGCGCGCCAGCCCCGCCCCGGTCGTCACCGCTCCGGCCCCTGCGGCTCTTCCCCCGCAGGGCTGGGGACCCCTCCCCCCGACCCCTCTGCTCCGTCCCCCCGCCCCGACTCCCCCCGGCTCCCTGCCTGCAGCGGCGCCGCCTCCTCGCTGACGCCTCTTGGGTGAGTATGTTGATGCGTGCGCCGGATCAGCGGGCAGCCCCACTAGGGGAGCTCAGCCACGCGGTTCGGCCTCTGCAGAGCCGGGCCCGAAGTGTTGAGGTCCTGGTACCTGTCCCCCTCACGCGCACACGCCGTATCCCAGTAGCTGCCTTCTTCCCTCCCCTTCTCCACCTCGGGGATCGATGTGCAGAGATTGAGCTCTTCCAGCCACGCTTCTTTACTTCACAGGGCCTCCTGGTCAGGATTCTTCCTAGGTGTGCAGGATGGAGATGTGGGGGCCCTTGGAACGTCACAGACTGGTTTCGAATCCCAGCTCTGCTTATTATTAACCTGTGACCTTGAGCAAGTTCTTTAACCTCCCTGAGCATGTATAAAATAGAAATAAACAGGTTACAGTGCCTAACTTATGGAATCATAATGAAGAATAAAAAGAGACAGTGTATATCAAGTGGGTGCTGAGCGGGGTGCCTAATACTCAGTAACCAGTTGCTGTCAGTGAACTCCAACTCATGGAGTCTCTGTGTGTCAGAGTAGAACTGTGCTCCATAGGGTTTTCATTGTCTGATTTTTCGGAAGCAGATCGCCAGAACTTTCTTCCAAGATTCCTCTGGATGGACTCAAACTGCCAACCTTTTGGTTAGTAGCTGAGCACATTAACCATTTGCACCAGACACTCCTAGTAGCCATTAAAAAAACAAACCCATTGCCATGAAGTCACAGCAACTTATCGGACAGAGTAGAACTGCCCCGTAGAGTTTCCAAGGACAGGCTGGTGGATTCGAATTGCCGACCTCTTGGTTAGCAGCTGAGCTCTTAACTACTACGCCACCAGGGCTCCTAGTAGCCATTAGGCACTCAGTAAGAATGGATGTGGACTAGAGACCAATAAGATCTCTATGGACCTTTGGAGATGAGGTAAGGGTATTCCTTAGAAAGCAGTTTTCAGCTAAATAGTACCTATGAGGAAGTTAGAGCTGTCCAGGGATTGAACAACTGCCGTTCTGGTAGTAAGCTCCCTGTGCTGAGATCTGGAAGACCAGAATGACCAAGTTGGAAGGGTCTTAGAAATAATCTAAACTACATGATTCCCATGTTGCACAACTGTGGAAACAAGCCTAGAGTGGTTAGGTGACTTGCCCAAGGTCACACAGCTAAAAGGGAGGGATCTGGAGCCCACTGACCTCAGGAAGGGATTTTGGGAGGGGGTACTTGTGATGCTGCAACCGCATTTGGGCTAGGTAGGGGAGGTGTTCCCCTTCTAGGGCCCTGAGAGACTTAGTCCATTTGGGGATGATCCATGGAATATGTTTTATCTGGGAGGGTCACCAGAGCCACTTCCAGCTCCCCTGGGAGACGACCCCTCACCCCTAAAAGGAGAAAGGAGCTTGAACTATTGGGGCAGGCTGCCTGATCCCATCTGACAGACAGGTGAGTGGGGGAAGATGGATGAAAATATAGAAGCATATCCACCTGGCTGGTTCCAGAATGCCAGGGAATGCCAGGAGGCTGGCCTGACTTGAGGTCATTGCTCTTCTTGAGGGTGGGGCTAGAGGGGAGAGTCAGTCTAGGGTGTGGCCGGGAAGAGTTTGGACTTGATCTGGCAAGGTCCTGTAGCCCAGAAAGGCAGGTTCTTTGTGTATATGGAGCCAGGCTTAGTTTGGCAACAAAAAGCCTAAATTCCAGGGATAGCTTTACCTTCAGCTCAGCATGTGGCTTTGAAGAAGGAAGGGCCTTTCCCTCTCTGTGTCTTGGTTTCTTATCTTTACAGTGGACTCAAGGCTGAGCTGATTCACCTACATAGGATTTGTTTTTCACCTTTCTTCCTCTTATGGAGTTGGTACTCCTCCCTCCCTCACCCTAGTTTTAACCTGACCTTTCTGCCCAGGCTCTGACCCAGAGAGGGAGGGGTCAAAGAAGGCCAGAGTTTTAGTGTGCGACTCTTCATGGGCCGCCATTTTCCCAGTGCTGGCTCTTCTGTTTGCTGTGTGGCTCCAACCACGTTGCTGCCCCTCTATTGGCCTCAACTGCCTCTCCTGTTCACTGAGAGGGGAATGGGCTAGGATTACTGGTGTATACTCAGCTACTGTAGTTCCTGACCTTAGATGTCCTTGTCCGATGGGGGAGTCACAGTCCTCAGGAGCCCTCAGTTGGTCTTGGGAGGGTAGTGGACAGGCCCTGGGTACCCGGAAGCCTCCAGAAGCTGACCAAGCAGCTCTCTTCAGCAAACAGCAAGCTGAGGCTAGTGCCAGGCCTGATTCTGCAAAGCCTTTCACCCTCAGAGCACGTGAGGCAGCAGGCAGGAACAGACAGGGAGTTGAGCTTCTATCATCTTCCATGGGGCTCCTGCTGCTGTGGACTGTAGTGTAGACACACAGAGTACATGGAGCCTGGATAAGGACTGAAGGTGCAAGAGGGCTGTGGGGCCAGTGGGTGAAGCACTAAGATCTGATGAGAGATCCTGAAACCTGGAAGATAGGCCTGAGGCTCAAAAACCTGGGGGAAGAGATGGACCATTCTGTCCACAGGTAGGCTTTAAGGTTGATTGCTGAAATAAGAAGAGACTAGTTAGACTAGCTCCTATAGTCCTAAGCCTGTTAAGGCAGGCATAGGGGTAAGGAGAAGGTTTCCCAATCTGTTCAGACTTCTTCCTAGCACAGATTTGGTCCATTCTCTTCCCTCGGAAATTGAGAGTGAATGTTCTCTTGAGATTCCAAGTCAGTCTTCCTCATCTAGGCCAGGAGCTGTCTCTGGGACTAGGTGGCCTCTTCCTCATACTCCCCACTCCATAGCACAGCCAAGCTTATGACTGAGCACAAGAGGTGGCTTCACCACTGAGCCCCAACCCTGGGATGCTGACAGCACACCACTCCATTCCCAGGTCTGACAAGATGTACCAGGTCCCACTGCCGCTGGACCGGGATGGGACCCTGGTCCGGCTCCGCTTCACCCTGGTGGCCCTGGTCACGGTCTGCTGTCCACTTGTCGCCTTCCTCTTCTGCATCCTCTGGTCCCTGCTCTTCCACTTCAAGGAGACAACGGCCACACACTGTGGGGTAGGGCTTGAGGAACATTGATACCTCATATTCAGGCTCATCTAGATCTTTTTTTGGATCCTAATTCTCTTGTCATAGGATTATCCAGCTTTCCCCTGGGGTTCAACAAACATACTGGGTGCTGGGGGGTGCCTGCAAGCTGAGGTCTCAAGAATTGGCTTCCTTCTACCTTCCATGGAGGCCACAGGGGGCTGGGGTCACTGAAGTTGGGCATCCCTAGAACCCAGAGCTCAATCCATACTTCCTGGTGGGGCAGATTCAGGAGTCTCAGGGTTTTCTGGATGGTGGGGAGTGGCAGAGAATAGGACTAGGCTAGAGGGAATTTTGGGCCCCTTAGTGTAGCACTGTGGGCTTGTGCCTATCTCTAGGGAATATGATTCTCTAAATATATGAGTGTAACTGTGAGGGATGTGACTGTATTTAATGACTTTGTGTGGGGTCTGTGTATGACAGAGACTATATCTGTGTTTGTCTGGATGGGGACCTGATTATGTGTGTATATGTGTGTTCTGGTGTGGGCCACATGCCCTCTGAGGTTCCATAGGTGGCCAGGCACCCTCTAGACAGGGATATGGGGTCCTGGGCTAGGAAGAAAGATGTGAGTTTTTTCTCTGTAGGATCTTGGAGTAAACGGGATGAGACCTGTGTTGACCTCTGTTCTCCTAGCTCATCCACTGACTCTTTGTATGACCTGAGACGCAGAGGCTGGGACTTAGTTTCCCCCTGTCTAAAATGAGGTTGATAATTCCTACCTTCTTCCTTCCCAGGGTGAGTGTCAAGCTCCAGGTAAAGGGAGGATAGGAAGGTGGTTTGGGAAATATGAAGGGTGAGGAGCAGAAGGAGGAATAGGAGATTGTCAGGGCAGGAGAGGATGTTACCCTAGGGGCTTAAGGTGGAGAAGAAGCAGGGCCTGGATGTGGACCCTTGGACTAGCCTCAGAAAGAGCTCTGAAGGCCGCTAGCCAGCTGGGCTCCCCACCTTCCTATAAAGAGCATCTGCTCCAGAGAAACGGCAAGGACTGGCAGTGGGATCTGGCAGGGAGTATGGGGTGGAGACCCGTTTCTTTTGTTCATATGACTTGAGGTTTCCCCTTCTCCTGATTTGTCACTGGGCAGACGTGGGCCTTGAGCTGTGGGCAGCAGGTGTGATGATCCCTGGAGCTGGGAGCTGTCAGAAGGAATAGGACTGGAAGAAAAGGGAGTGGCCAGGTGATCAGACGGGGGCAGTCAGAAAGGGTTTATCCAACGACCTTCCCTGACCTAGCTCTCATCTCAGATAAATGCACCAAATGTTGCCATCACCCTGGCCAACTCTTATTCATCTGCAAAGTCCTGCCCAGGTGTGCTCCTCCAGAAAGCCTTGCCTAGCCTCCTTAGATCAAACTTAATCACTCTCTCCTCTGAGTGTCACAGATAACACAGTTCCTTGTGTTATCTCTGGCACAGTTGCATCACATTATATTTGTGTCTAGCTTCCCTACCAAGGTGCTTCTTGAGGGTGGGTACTGCATCTGAGTCAGAAAATAATTGTTGAGTGAATGTATAGGATCCCAGCTCAGTGCCCAGGGAAAGGGAAGGCATGTGCAAGGCAGTCTTAGTCCCCAAACCCACTGCCATCGAGTTGATTCCGACTCATAGCAACCCTGGCCCTGTCCAGTAGAACTGCCCAATAGGGTTTGCAAGGCTGTAAATCTTTAGGGAAGCAGACTGCCACATCTTTCTCCTGTGGAGTAGCTGGTGGGTTCGAACTGTCTGCCTTTCAGTTAGCAGCTGAACACTTAACCACTCTGCCACCAGGACTCCTTAATCTTAGCCACACAGAAAATTATAATGTGTGTGTGGCATATGGAGTTAAACAGAGCTGCTCTGCTCTTTGTGGCTGACTCCGAGGGTTTATGGGATCGATAACCTTAGCATACTTGGCATACCAGTTAAGGAACTAAGGCATAGGTAGTTGCTGGAGGGGTACCTGGCCCCTCTGGGGCAGGACTAGGTCCAGTCATATGACCCTAGAGGCCTTTTGTCCACATTCCCTAGGACCACCCCATTGAATCTATCTGGATATTTTAATATATGCTCTGACTTTCTCACCCAGAATATCCCAAAAGTGGCTGACCCTAGAAATAAAAGAAGTAACCTAGTCTCACTCACCTATAATTAGATGACTTGCCTCTGCTTGCACCCGGTGATGGGGAGCTTCTTTCTCCCCAGGCAGCTTATTTCCAAGGAGGGTTAGTAACTAACAGTTAGCAAGCTCTTTCTTACAGTGAGCGTACACTTTCCTTCTGTGACTCTCTGCTCTGGCACTGGCTCTGCTTTGGGGGCTATGAAGCTGCTCTCTCCTCCTGACTTCAGGCCAGCTCTGTAGAGATAGGAAGACAGTAATGGGGGTCCCTAAGTCTACTCTTCTTAGGTAACACATCTCTAGTTCTTTCAGGCAACCATCACAGGACATGGTCTTCAGGCTCCTTCCTCCTGACTGTGACCCTGGACTTGGCCCAGCTGGTAACTATCCTCTCTGCATGCTGGGCCTTGATCTGGGCATAGGACTCCACATGGCCTGGGCAGTACAGTGAGGACAAGACAGTGCCCTTCCTATTACTGACTGTTAACCACCAACAAACCAGTTGTGGGCAAGTTGATTCCGACTCATGGTGACCCCCACCATGTGTTTCAGAGTAGGACTGCTCTCCATAGGGTTTTCAATGCCTGTGATCTTTGGGAAATAGATCTTTTTTAGCGCCTCTGAGTCGACTTCAACCTGCAACCTTTCAATTAGCAGCCAAATGTGTTAACTGTTTGCACCAGTTAGACCTCTGTTAATACAGGCTGAGCTTCCATTAGCTGTTTCTGCACAGGCTGGACACTGACACCTCATATCCAGGCCCATCTAGATCTTTTTTGGATCCTGATTCTATTGTCACAGGATTAGCCAGTTCTCTAGTGGGGCCAAACATACTCTGTCCTGCTCCAACAAAAAGGGGCCAGTTTTCCTGTCTCTAAGTGGCTTCCTTTGCCTTAGTTGTGCTGATTTCCCCTATATTGTGTATTGCCTTTCCCTTCACCAAAATTAACACGTCTGCTATCTAGTTAATGGTTTTCCCTCCCCACTTGATAACCCTCAAAGATTGTTTCTTTCTGTGTGTAAACCTTTTCTTGAGTTTTTATAATAGTGGTCTCATATAATATTTGCCTACTTATGATTGACTTATTTCACTCAGCATAATGCCCTCCAGATTCATCCGTGCTGTGAGAGATGTTTTGTGTATTCATCTTTGTTCTTTATCATTGCATAGTATTCCATTGTGTGTATGTACCATGGCTTGTTTATCCATTCATCTGTTGATGGTACCTAGGTTGTTTCTGTTTTTTCACTATTGTGAATAATGCTGCAGTGAACATGGGTGTGCATTTATCTATTCATGCGATGGCTCTTACTTCTTTAGGATATATTCCTAGGGGTGGGGTTGCTGGATCATATGGTATCTCTCTTCCTAGCTTTTAAGGAAGCGCCATATTGTTTTCCATAGTAGTTGTACCATTTTACATTCCTGCCAGCTGTGTATGAGAGTTCTAATCTCCCCACAACCTTGCCAGCATTTATTGTTTTCTGTTTTTTTTGGTCAGTGCCATTCTTACAGGGGTGAGATGGTATCTCATTATGGTTTTGCTTTGCATTTCTCTAATGGTGAATGATGGAGCCCTGGTGGCACAGTGGTTGAGAGCTCAGCTGATAACCAAAAGGTTGGCTATTCAAATCCACCAGCTGCCCCTTAGAAACCCTGTGGGGCAGTTCTACTCTGTCCTGTTTGGTTGCTATGGGTTAGAATCGACTCGATGGCAATAGGTTAATGGTGAATGATAGCGAGCATCTTTCTATATATTTGTTGGCTGCCTGAGTGTCCTCTTTGGTAAAGTGTCTGTTCATGTCCTTTGCCCATTTTATGATTGGGTTGTTTGTCTTTTTGTTGTTGAGTTGTTGACGTTTTCTATATATTTTACAGATTAGTCCTTTATCAGATATGTCGTTGCCAAAGATTTTTTCCCCAGTCTCTTGATAAAGTCTTTTGATGAGCATACATATTTAATTTTTAGGATGTCCCAGTCATCTAGTTTATCTTCTGGAGTTTGTGCTTTTTTAGGTATGCTTGATATTCTATTTATGCCATAAATTAGGGTCCCAGCGTTGTCCCTATGTTTTCTTTCATTTAGGTCTTTGATCTATTTTGAGTTAGTTTTTGGGTATGGTGTGAGGTATGGATCCTGTTTCATTTTTCTGCAAATGGATATCCAGTTTTGCCAGCACCATTTTTGAAAAGACTATCTCTTCCCCATTTAATGGACTTCTACCCTTTGTCAAAGATCAGGTATCCGTAGGTGGATGGATTCACTTCTGGCTTCTCAATTCTGTTCCATTGGTCTGTGTGTCTGCAGTACCAGGCTGTTTTGACTACCATGGCTATATAGTAGGTTCTGAGATCCGGTAGTGTGAGGCCTCCTATTTTGTTTTTCTTTTTCAGTAATGCTTTACTTTCCTTTCTGTATAAAGTTGGTGATTAATTTTTCATCTTGTTGAAGAATGTTGTTGCAATTTGGATCAGGATTGCATTGTATCTATAGATCGCTTTGGGTAGTATTGATATTTTCATAATGTTAAGTCTTCCTATTCATGAGCATGGTATGTTTTTCCATTTATGAAGGTCTCTTTTGGTTTCTTGCTGTAATGTTTTGTAGTTTTCTTTGTATAAGTCTTTTATGTCCCTAGTTAGATTTATTCCTAAGTATTTTTTTTTTTTGGAGGGGGTTATTGTAAATGATATTTTTTTCCTGATTTCCTTTTTGAAGTTCTCTTTGTTAGTGTAGAGGAATCCAACTGATTTTTATATGTTAATCTTGTACCCTGCCACTTTGATAAATCCTATTAGTTCCAGTAGCTTTCTTGTGGCTTTTCTATGTATAGGATCATCTGCGAATAGGGATAGCTTTACTTCTTCCTTACCA